TTGGGATCCCCTCCCAGCTTCTCCTGCACAATGTGACTTCCCCAGCCCTTTCGAAACACTCTTAACTCTTCGAATGCTTTGGTCAGACAACACTCCCCATAACAGCAACAGCTGCTTAGGAGCAATACAGGAAAAGGGCACCAATATGTTGCTACTAACGAGCATCTACTGTACTTAAACAGTGATTGAATCTCACAAAATAAAATGTTTAATTTTCTTACTTTCACTGAGGTCTGAAGTGCAGAATAGAATTTCATTTGTATTTATCGGTTGCACTAATCAGCCCCCATATAAATCACAGAGGGATGCCAGACTTCACATGTCAGATTTCATAGTTTGTCACATATCAGTTGAGAAAGGTAAAGAGCCACAAATAAGCTTGCTGGTGCAAAGGATAAGGCACCTGCCCAAGAAGCTTGGGTTTGAGACCCTATGGTGACTGACAATCATATGTCTAGGAAGAAAAATACAGCCCATATTTAGAGGATACGCGACTGTATCTGGAAAGTAATTACTTAGAAAAATGACTTAGGGATTATGAACTTGAGCTCCTCGTGTGATGCAGTGGTTCAAAGGCCTAAAGGAATCAGGACTGTGGAACCACTGAGACCCCTTTAACTCTGATGTCCAGGCTGTCTCTAGGCTCTGTTCACTCAGCCATCATCATGCAGAGGCACACCCAGCAAAGTTAAATGCAGGATCTCACAGCCACTCATGAACTGTAAACAGGAAGACACCTGCAAATTCCCCCAGCCTTGCATCTCAGAAATGTGCATCTTACACTGCTCAAGACCCCCTTGATCAGAGTAAGCTAATTAATTAGTTCATCTTTCCATCAAAGAGAAATAGATATGCACCAGCCCTTGTTAACCAGAGTAGATACCCCAAGCACTTCAGTCAAAAATACACTGGTTTAGATTAAACATAAAAAAGATTGGTCAACTATAAAAAGATAGATTTTTAAGAGATTAAGAAGTGATAGTGGCATAGAAGATCAGAATTGGTTACAAAAAAGAAATAAAAGATAAAATTGCAGTCTAAGTCCTAAACTTTATCAAGCTAAGTCAAATGTGAAGTAATAAGGTTTATCTTAACCCAAAATCTACAATAGTCTGTGCTAACTGAAAAGCTTTTCCAGTTAGGATCACTCTTCCCAGTTCAAATGTTTCTTTGTCTTCTAAGCGATCTTGTGGCAGTCAGTGTAGGTGGGGGAGGAAAGGTGGACTCACAAGGTCGCTGTCCCTTATTTTATACTCTACACCAGGTGCTGGAATAATCTTTACTGTGTCATGGGGTTAGGCAGTTCCATTGCCTATCTACCTAGCCCGTCATCCTCCATATGAGTTGCTAATTGTGGCTTGAGCGTTTTGTCTACGTGAGATTTGGCATGGAAGGCCTCTGCGTTTACAGTTTCTTTGTCCTCTCTGAAAGGCTAGCCTGTGGGCGTTTCCTAGACTCACAATATGTTTCAGTGACAAACATATAGCAAATTTCATAACTACATATACAATGATGATACATTTCTACAGGACAGTAATGGTCAACAGATTATGATGTTTCCAGTGATACCTCACAAGGCATACTTTGCACAAGATTTATCATAATTTTGTAAAAGTGGTGACCGTAATAGTAGAGACTGGCACACAATCCTTGGATTGTATTAACAGGGGCATATTGAGCAGGAGTAGGTGGTGATATTATCTCTGCATACTGCACTGGGGAACAATTAATGTAATGGTGTTCACCAATTAAAAAGAATGCTGAAAAATTGGAAAGTGGTAAAAAAACATCTACAGGAATGATTCATGTTAAAGAAGAGACCTAAGAAGCTCACATCTGTTTAGCTTATCAAAGAGAAGGTTAAAATATGACTTAATCATGATCTAGAAGTACCTATACAGGGAGACAATCCATACAAGTATGGACACTAAAGAGCTCTTTAATCTGGCAGAAGAAGATAAAATCCAATGGTTGGAAGTTAACCTAAAAACAGTTAAACTGGAAATAAAAAAAAATTATTAACACAGAGGGCAATTAACCATTGGAACAGCTTACTATGAGGTGTGGTCAATTTTCTGTCACTTGGAGTCCATAAATCTAAATGATATGTTGTAATTCAGTCACAAGTAATTGTTACAGGAATTGCTATGTGAAGTTATATGACCAGTGAAGTTATATGACCAGGAGGTCAACCTAGGTTATCCTAAAAGGTTCTTTTGGTCCTTAAAATCTACAAATCCATAGAAGGCCAAAGGTGGCAGATCTATCTATCTAATCTATGATATTGTTTGATGGTTAAAACTAGCCACTCATGTCTTACTTAGATAAAGTTACTATATTCACCACAGGGAATAAGTAGGAAATACTGAAGTAACCTTAGCAGGTTCTTAAGGGCATCGACTGAAAGCAAAGATTCTGCTCAGAGTGAATTGTGTTATTTTATTTATAACCTCATAAACAGACAGGTTAAAGAGGGAATCATTGACAGGCATTAACTCTGGTGGTGCTGCTGGGTTCTACCATAATACCAACTGAGAAGCATGATTTACTAACTGCATTAAGGCATAAAGGTCATGTGAAAACATAAATATTTTAAAGAATACCTGTCAGCATTTGAGAAAGATTTAATGTTGTGAAGTAAAGACGTGTGGCTCCAAGCTAACTCATGAAATCAAAGAGAACTGATAACAGGTTACTGTAAATTAAAGTTGATTTATAATCTGGGTCATACTGAAATTTGTATCCTTTGATATAGGTGGTTATTTATCTTTGAAATGAATCGGTAAAGAATAAGAACACAGGTTTACCCTGAATTTATAATGTGAAAAGCAAACTTCTAATAGTTAACAGTGAAAATATCCGTGATCATACCATATATTGCTGTTGAAGAAATCAGGCCCAGGGGGAGAAAGAGACAGCAACAAGAATTGACATTGCAATCATTTAGAAAAATGTACAGATGCTGTAGGAAGAGTCCTGATGTGGTAACTAATATAAGACTGAGACAAAAGTAAGACTCTGACTGATTTTAACATCTGTCCCAATGTCTGTGACAGTGCTGAATGTACCATCTACAGTAGGCTCCTCATACAATCTACAAGGGACTCCTTTAATAACATATGTTTTCTTTAAAAACTTGTGATATATATCAATGATCTAATCCTTTCATACTTTCTGCTGTGTTATGTCTCTTACTGATTATTTCAGACATTTTGTGAAAAAAAATCTGCCCATCACCCTTTCTCCACCTCCATAATCAGCAGCATTATGCATGCACCTCTGGGAAGGAAAACTGGATCTGTAATTAAGGATATTATCAGAATTCACATTCTGAAAAATTCCTTGTACAGTATTGCCAACTCCAAACAATCTAAAAGCATCAAGCAGGCCCCACAAAATCATAGTATGGACTTAAAAATCCCAAGACTTTTATAAATAAATGTTGGGGCTTTTTAACATGTGTTCTAGCATTTAAGCCTTTAGGATATACTTGGTTCACATTTTAAGGCTTTTGTCAACCACCATGAAGGCTGAACACTTAATAAAAAAAAGTCTGGATTATCACAAAGTCACTTGACTCCAGGTGCTGGGGCTTAAAGAAAAATGAAGGTTACTTACCTGTAACTGAGATTCTTTGAGATGGACTCTGAGGTTCTTTGAGATGCACTCATGGGATACTCTGGCCTGTGCAGCCAGAATGGGTAGAATTCTAGCTAGTAGTAGCTATTGGAGAGCTCATGCTCCTCCCATGCCCTTCTCTTTAGTAAACATTGAGCATTCCAGAGGAGAGTATTGAAGGGGCATGGTACTCCAGCCATCTCAGTTTCTTCCCCTGCAATCCCAAGCCCTGTGTTAGGTAGCACTCTGAGGTAGTGAGGAAAGGTGGGCGGGGAGTTAGTATATGCAGAATGCATTTCATAGAATTTTGGTTACAGGTAAGTAACCGTCTTTTCTCCTTTGAGTATCCTCAACATATTCCCACTCATGGGATAGATTAATAAATAGTATTCTAAATCAGGATGGTGGGGCCCCTGGAGTTCCCCCCCCCCCCAGTTAAATAAGGACTGGAGGAAAGCTCTCCCAAATCTTGAACCAGATCTAGATGCTAAATCTAAGGTATAGTGTTTACTAAAGGTGTGATCAAAAATCCACATTGCCGCTTCTACATCTCTCTCTTAGAGGAATGTGCCTAGAAAGAAGGTGGCTTCTATGGCTTTTTATCTAGTAGAATATGTTCTAATTCCTTGAGGAAGGGACAACCCTTTCAATTTATAAGTCTCATTAATACATAATCTAACACATCTTGAAAGCATTTAACATAAATAGCTTTTCTCTTGTTCTTCTTTTCAAATGCAATGAACAATTTTGGGGACTGTCTAAATTGCTTAGTCACGTCTAAATAAACAGCTAAAGTTTTTCTAATATCCAGTATGTAATTTAGCCTCTCCCTCCTGAGTAAGAGGTTTGGAGCAAAATTATAGACTAGTTTATGTGAAAATCGGAGACCAATTTTGGTAAAAACCAAGGGTGTCTACAAAGAACTTTTGTCTTTGTGAAAAACAGTAAATGGTGGATCTGCCATTAATGCATGAATTTCACTTATACACCTGCCAGAAGTGATCATTATAAAAATACTGTCTTTATAGCCAGATGAACAATTCCCCAAACATTCAAAAGAAGGTTTCATCAATTGTGATAGCACTAAAATCAGATCCCAAGATGGCATAGGGCATCTTATTGGGGGATATAAGTTATTTAATGCCTTTTAAGATCCTTTTAACTACATCATTAGTAAAAATTGATTTGCCCTCCACAGGTACATGGTATGCTGATATGGCTGCTTTCTCAAGATACAACAAATATTCTAATATATAAGCAATTGATGTTGTATATGGATCTATACCATACACAGAAATCCACAATATAAACCTTTTCCATATATGACTATAACATTTTCTTGTGGACTCTTTCCAGGAATGTAACAATACATTCTGCACCTCTAACGAACAACTTTGCTTTTGAGATGTTCCGGAATCCTGTTTCCCATGCTGTTAAATGAAGAAACTGAAGATCTGAATGATAAACCATCCTGAATGATAAACCATGCAACAAGAAGTCTGGTACCAGTGGCAGAGGCTTCATTAATTCTCTTGACAAGTGAATTAAGTCTGGATAGCATTGTTCTCTGGGCCATACTGGCACTATTAAAATTACCCTGGCCTTGTCCTGTCTTACCTTGTTGATCACTCTCTGAATGAGGGGAAATGGGGGAAATGCTTTAAGCCCTGACTCCAGAATATTAGAAAGGTATCTGATACTGAGTCCCTGCTTCTGCCTGCTCTCAAGCAAAATTTGTGACACTTCCTGTTGCTGATGGATGCAAAAAGATCTATTATTGGATTCCCCCATAAACTGAAGAGGTGTATTACTACTTTGTCCTTCGAAATCTACTCATGCATCTGATATTTTGATTTTTTTCAGATGATCTGCAAGGGAGTTTTATTCCTTGGCTACATAGATTACTACTGGGTGAATATTGTATCTGTACACTGGTTCAAAAGGCTCTTTGTCTCCATGCATAATTTCAGGGAATCAGCCCCTCTTGCTTGTTCTGATAATATAATGCTGTCATATTGTCTGTTACCATGTGAACTGCTCTGTGTTTGACCTTTAGAGCCAGTCTGATTGCTCTTGGCTCTAATGTATTGATATGTAGGTTCTTTTCTTTTGGTGACCAATGAGTTGTGACGAACAAATTGTTGTTCAATGTAGATGCAGAGGAGGAAAGTATTACTGATGGCAGAGGGGAATTGAAAAGTGTACCCCTCATTACACTGAGTGTTTGTTCACCTTGTTAGTGATGTTAACACTTGCTGTGGGATTACTGTTTTGCAATGCATGGTGACTAAACCTGATTTGTAATGTATTGTTAACCAGTGTTGAAGATCTCTCATCTGAAGACAAGCATGTGGTGTCACTGATGTGGTTGATGCCAAAAGACCCAGCAGGAGGAGAAAAAGGTGAACTGGTTGTTGTGGGGATTGAAGAAGGAGATATATAGACGTTTTTATTTTTATAAATCTCTCGTCTGGGAGAAAAACTCTGGCCACAGTTGAATTGAATATGGCCCCTATAAACAGGATCCTCTGAGTTGAGTTTAGGAATGACTTTTCCTAATTTATTTGTAATCCAGACTGGCAAATAAAGAACATATGTATTTTACATGTAATCAGATGTGTCCTCTGGATGATACTTTTATTTACCAGTCATCCAGGTACAGGTATACATACAACCCTTGCCTCTTAGGTACGTTGCCACTATAGACAGGCATTTTGTAAACAACCTGGGTGTTGTGGACAACCCAAAAGAGAAAATCTTGTACTGAAAATGCTCATCTCCTCATACAAAACATAGCTATTTCCAATTACATGGTCTTATTGAAATATATAATGTGCATCTTTTAAGCCCAGAGCAGCAGTCCTGAAGGGAAAGAAAAAACATGCAGAAACAATTTTTTTTTATTTGTGTTTAATTTCCTTAAATCCAAAATAGGGCAAAGGCCACCATCTTTTCTTTAAAATTAGAAAATAATATGAGTAAAACGCCTTCCTCTCTGAGCTCGCAGCACCATGTCTATTGCTCCTGACTGCAGTAGAAATTGAACCCCTTTCCTTAAAAATTTGAGATGAACTCAATCCCTGACCAGGGATTTAATGGGGGCAGGGAGAGTGGGGGTTGATAGGAAGAGAGAGGGAAGAATCCTGAACTGAATCATGTACCTGCATGCAATAACTTCCAGGATTCACCTCTTTGATGTTATTAACTCCCATGGCTTATAAAAACAGGACAAGTGGTCCCCAAACTGTGGGTAAAAATGTCCAACTGGACTGTTTTGTAGCTCCACGTCCTCATGTCAAATCTGAGATCTTGCAGAAATTGCAGAAAATGAAGTGGAAGCTTTCCCTCTATTATTACCAGGTTTAAATGACCTCTTTCTCTGTTGTTGATGTTGGGAGCATGATGTTGAGACTGGTAATGATAGGTCCTTCTTTGATAATGATAAGGAATTGATGAAGAAGAAGAAGGTGGGGTATTGTCTTTGGTATCTAAATAGTGGAGCTGAATACAATCTCTTCACTATATTAAAGAAACTTAAAGATCTAACTGTAGATCTTACATTTTTCATTTTCTCCTGAACCTCATAAGTACACTAAACAGACCCTCTCTTTCAAAAGGAAGATCATCTACCATCATCTTTGTCTCATGTGGAAGTGGGGACTTAACCATGCATGTCATCTTAGTGCAATAGCCAATGTTGTTGCCCTAGCTGAAACATCTGAAGAGTCAAATGCCACATTCAACTGCTGTTTAGCAACAGTCTGTGTCTCCATCAAAATAGCATTTTCTACCCCTTTATGTTTCTCTGGTAGGGCATTAAGAAACTAAGACACTATTCTCCACAGATGAGATTGGTACCTAGCCATGACAGTGTCATAATTAGATATGTGCATAACTAATGTAACTGAAGAAATTATTTTTCTGCCAAATACATCTGAACTTTCCCCCTCTTTATTAGATGGAGATAGATTTGGATACTTCTGTCTTTGAAGTGATGCCCCAACCATGAATAAAGAGATGGATGAGTATGAAACATAGCAAGCCCTTCCCAAGACAATTGATATAATTTGTCTGCTTTTCTTGATAAAGACTGAACAGATGAGGGAGTATTCCGGATTGTTTTTGTTGGTTGAAACAACCCTTCCAACAAAGGAAGTGAAACACTATGCCTACTGGCTGCCCACAAAAATGTCAAAAACAGAATGGGACAATTCCTTATCAAAAACTGAGGGAATATCTACAGCATTCTGTGAGGGCAATGATGCTGAAATGTCCCGCACATTTTCATCTGGAGAAGACAAATCCACAGAACCTGGATCAGACTTTTTGAGCTCCAATAATTCTTCTTCCTCAGACAATAGCTCCCTTACTTCTGTAGGTAACTTATCCAGAATTAGTTGCATTGGCAGTTCCACATCCTTTGGATCCAACAATTGAATGTCCTCTTGGCAGAAAATTGGTGAAGCTCTATTCCTATACAGGTGCAGGAAATGGCCAGTGGGTCATTTAACCCAGGGGATACTTGCCTTTGAGGCCAAAAGCCCATAGATGGATCTGGTTGGAAATACCTTTTGCATATGGATCTGGCAATTATGTATGAGACTGTCTATAATATTGTTTCTCTGGATCTGATCATAGAATCATAGGACTGGAAGGGACTTTAGAGAGATTATCTAGTCCAGACCCCTGCATTCATCAAAGGACTAAATATTATCTAGACCATTCCTGACAGGTGTTTGTCTAACCTGCTCTTAAAAATCTCAGTGATGGAGATTCCACAACCTCCCTAGGCAATTTATTGCAGTGCTTAACCACCCTGACAGTTAGGAAATTTTTCCTAACTTCCAACCTAAACCCTCCTTGCTGCAATTTAAGTGCATTGCTTCTTGTCCTATTTTCAGAGGTTAAGAACAACAATTTTTCTCCCTCCTTTTTGTAACAACCTTTTACCTACTTGAAAACTGTTATCATGTCCCCTCTGTCTTCTCTTTTCCAGACTAAACAAACCCAATTTTTTCAATCTTCCCTCATAGGTCATGTTTTCTAGACCTTTAATCATTTTTGTTGCTCTTCTCTGGACTCTCTCCAGTTTGTCCACATCCTTTCTGAAATGTGGCGCCCAGAACTGGACACAATACTCCAGTTGAGGCCTAATCAGCACAGAGGAGAAGTAATTCTTCCACTCTAGTGTCTTGCTTACAACACTCCTGCTAAAACATCCCAGAATGATGTTCACTTTTTTTGCAACAGCGTTACACTGTTGATTCATATTTAGCTTGTGGTCCACTATGACCTGCAGATCCCTTTCTGCAGTACTCCTTCCTAGGCAGTCATTTTCCATTTTGTATGTGTGTAACTGATTGTTCCTTCCTAAATGGAGTACTTTGCATTTTATCCTTACTGAATTTCATCCTATTTACTTCAGATCATTTCTCCAGTTTTTCCAGATCATTTTGAATTTTAATCCGATCCTCCAGATCACTTGCAACCCCTCCCAGCTTGGTATTGTCCACAAACTTTATAAGTGTACTCTCTATGCCATTATCTAAATCATTGCTGAAGATATTGAACAGAACCAGACCCAGAACTGATCCCTGTGGGAGCCCATTTGTTTTATCCTTCCAGCATGACTGTGAACCACTCTCTGGGAATGGTTCTGCAACCAGTTTTGCAACCACCTTATATTGACTCCATCTAGGTTGCATTTCCCTAGTTTGTTTATGAGAAGGTCATGTGAGACAGTGTCAAAAGCTTTACTAAAGTCAAGATATACCACTTCCCACCTATCCACAAGGCTTGTGACAGAAGAAAGCTGTCAAAGAAAGCTATCAGGTTGGTTTGGCATGATTTATTCTTGACAAATCCATGCTGACTGTTACCTATCACCTTATTATCTTCTAGATGTTTGCAAATTGATTGCTTAATTATTTGCTCCATTACCTTTCCAGGTACAGAAGTTAAGTTGACTGGTCTGTAATTCCCTGGGTTGTCCTTATTTCCCTTTTTATAGGTGGGCAATATATTTGCCCTTGTCCAGTCTTCTGGAATCTCTCCCGTCTTCCATGACTTTTCAAAGATAATTACTAATGGCTCAGATATCTCCTCAGTCAGCTCCTTGAGTATTCTAGGATGCATTTCATCAGGCCCTGGTGACTTGAAGACATCTAATTTTTCTAAGTAATTTTTAACTTGTCCAACCTTCTTGGTGAAAACTGAAACCAAAACGTCATTAAGCACCTCTGGCATTTCCACATTTTCTGTTATTGTATTTCCCCCCTCATTGAGTAATGGTCCAACCCTGTCCTTGGTCTTCCTCTTGCTTCTAATGTATTTGTAGAATGTTTTCTTGTTACCCTTTATGTCTCTAGCTAGTTTGATCTCGTTTTGTGCCTTGGCCTTTCTAATTTTGTCCCTACATACTTGTTGTTATTTGTTTATATTCATCCTTTGTAATTTGACCTCTGATTTGCATCTCTTTCCCAATCCCAGTACCTTTATGGTTCAGATGGAACTGGAGACGATAATCCCCTATGAAAAGGGAGTGTAAAGAAAACTTTGTCTGAGATCCAGAAGGGGTCTTGGGTGATGGAAGTAGAGGAGAAACACTGACTTCTTCTAGCTTTTTGCTGACTCCCGGGGGAAGCAGCTATTGGGATCAGTTGTAACAAAACATCCAGTATCTGCTCAGAAGAAATGCCTGGCTCAGTTATTGGCTGAATTGGAGACAGAGCCAATCAATGAACCATTGCCTTAACTGTTATCTGTTGTGGTACTGTGCTGGTGCCAATTCCTAAATCTTTATTAGTTCTTTTCATTGTCAGTTCCTGAGCTCTTGCTTTTGAAGCCCATTTATCTGGATTCAACATGATTGGCTCCAAAGAGGAATGTCTCCTGATCCTATCTTGAGGACATGTATCCAAGCCAGATTTCTTAAAAGTCTATCTTGTTACCAGATTTGCCCATTACTTTGGGGTATGCTCATTTATTAGGGTTACTCTTCTGGGGGAGGGGGGTTCAATGTATATCAATGTACTGCTTGTATCACTTGTGTTCTCATACGGAGCTCTACTTCTCCCTGCTGCAAGTTCCCTCCCAATGGAGCTAGCCTGCAGGACCTAAATTCCCCAGGGCTGGGGTCTTCCATCCCCAGAATCAGATGAACACACACATATTAACAGAACGCATCTGAGAGGACTGGGTTAATCAGCACTCCCAAGCTGACCCCTTATATGTCCCTGGACTCAATAGGCTGGGTCAAGCAGCACCTCCAAGCTATCACCCTCATATGCCATCGGTACTGCACCGGAATAGAGCACGCCTGAGCAGGCTGGATCAAGCAGCACTTTCAATCTGCCACCCTAATATGTCCCTGGACTCAGCAGACTGGGTCGAGCAGCACTTCCAAGCTGCTACCATCATATGTGCCAGGTTCAGAACGTCTCTTTCCCCACTTTCACGTTACAATTGTTCTGGTAGTAACCCACTTGATGAGCAAACCCCACAGGATTTTTGGGCACTGCAGGGATCTTTTAGCTTAGGTACAAGGAGTGTTGCTGCAGAGAGAATGAGGAACCCCAAAAAAAAAAAAATACCCATGGTGGCGGGGGGAAGAGAGAGAAAGAGAGAAGCAACCAGCTTAATAATGAAAATTATTTATTGCCAGGTAATAACCATAGAGGAGCCAAACAAACAAAACAGTTATAATATTAAATCTAACTTAAACTTGATTATAAAAATCAGGTTTAGAAAACTATAACTTATCACACAAGTCAGGGTCAGAAGGCTATACTTTTAGAAAGAGAGAGAGCTGGGTTCTCACCACTCCATGAAGCTTTAATTGATTGGGGGTCCCAGGTGGTGGGGGTAGCTGAGGTTCCGGAGTTTTGATGCCAGGCAGAGCCCCCAGCATGATCAGTCAGGAGAAGATGAAGTCCCAATGAAACTGAAGCAGATTTTGGATCCAGGCCTCAGAACGCTTACTTGAGCATAGGTAGAGAAATAACACTGGTTCAAGGGAGAACACTAGATTTGTTTATGTGTAAATAAGGGAGTATACCAAAGTTGTTTTGTTCAGGCTAGACCACAGGAGCTGATCATTCCTGGCTTTCGGCAGTGTTCCTTGGAGGGAGCTCACAATGCAATTAGGGAGCTTCACTATTTTGGATTCCAATAAAGGGTTTATTACTAGAATTGGTCTGATAACTACTGAGCTTGGTGTGTGCAGGGGTGGGTTCATTAACGTCTGGAGCAGTGATCCTCCACCATGCAGTGCTTCCCTGCTTTTCTGGTCCCAGAATTCCATGCGGTTCTTGCCTTGGAATCTCTGTTCTCCAGTCTGTATGCTAATGGAGATGCCTCCTTGTTCCATCTTGGATGCAAATGAGGCTAGGGGAGTTTCCTTAATCCTGTCATCCTTATCCCAGGGGTTTAGGTGTGTCTCACACTGCCTTTTCGTTGCTTTTTGTAAGTCTTCTGATTGGTTTTGGTTCAAGCTGAGGCTGAGGGGGTGGGGAAGGTCTTTCGTGAGTCAGACAGGCTGCGTTCTGTGCCCTGGTTCCCCAAGAACAATCTAGGGAACAATCTAGATGAGACTTTCTCTTGTGGACTGAATCTTTGCAAAGAGGCCGACATCGACAATGACCAGACATTCAGAAGGAGACAGCTAGGGTGCTGAGCATGAATTGGGTTGGAAACAGAGGCTGATGCCTTGGTCATCTTCTTCTCACCTTAATTTTCTTGGATCCTGTAGTACTGGGCAACAAGGAGGATCTGTCCTTCTTCCTGGATGAATCATTCGGATCTAAAACAGTTCTCTGAGATCTGGCGAAGCTCTGTGATCTTTCCATTCTGGATGGTGTCACTGACAGGGCCTCATGCAGTAAAATTATCTGGAATCTATTCTGTCTTTTGTTCTTCAGTCAAAAGTTGAGCAAATAGAGCATTTGGAGGGAGAGTGCCACTCTCCTAAACACGCCAGGCATCTAGCATGTGCATCCAGTGCTGGGAATGCTGCTAGACATGAGATGCATCTCTTTAATCCAGAATTTTTTGGTTCTGGTATCTTAATTAACTTCTGTAACTGATATTGTAATTAACTTCTGTAACTGATGCTACTAATTAACTACTTAACACGGATCCAGAAGAATCCTGAAGCAACTTTATAAACTGATCCATGGGTCACTGTTGACAGAACTGAGGTGGCTGGAGCACGATGCCCCTTTAATACCCTCACCCTGGAAAGCTCAATATGCACTGATGGGATGGGTGGAGGCAGCACATGAGAGCTCCATTGGCTACTAGTAGCCAGAATTCTACCATTCAGGCTGCACTGTTTGGAGGATTCCATGAGTGGGACTATGCAGAGGTCACTCAAAAGAGAACCACCAAATATTAGAAGACTTATAATGAAATTGAGAGAGTTGGCAATATTGCTTATATAGTCTCTTTCCATGGTGTTAGCTGCTCCTAAGAAAAAGAAGAAAGATTCAGTTTGGATAGGGCGAGCAGGATATTTGACTCTGATCACCTCTCCATGCTCACCGGGTAGATAAATAAGACTTTAGAAATCATCCTCATCTGTCAGAATATGCCTAATCTTGTTCCTGTTTTAGAATATGTCTAAGCTTGTTCCTGTCAGAATATCTCTAAACTTGGCAAAAACAATAGCATAAGTTATGTGGACAGAAAGTATATAAGCATTCAGAAATCTGATATTAAGGATCAGATGTCTAGATATTGACCTCTATCACAGTAATGTTCTGAGAAGACAAATTTTATAGGCAAGAACAAATAATAGTAGAATTTAAGTAGTGTTTAAGGAATAGACAAATGAAGTAATATATAAGGAGGCTTGTGTTTCATTAGTTGCTGAGCTTTCTAGAAATGCTAGCATTGTTTAATTTGTCTTTTTTGCAGATCAAAGGAATGGAAGAGAAATTCAGGAAGGAGGAGGGATGTGGTCATGACTCTAACACTGACTTCAAGTGGTTTAGTTCTCCCCATGCTCAGGTATTTTTATTTTTTTCCTGTCCCTCTTTAAGCTACAGAACGTTTGCCTTTTGGATGCATGAGCTAGCGACTGCTCCTAGTAACTGTGTCCAATTCCATTTGCAAAATTCTATTTTTATTAGCAATTTTACAGACATAGAAGAAAGCAGTTAGTTAAAAGATACAGTCGTTTAAAAGACTAAACACACCTGCATGTATATTATGGAAAGCATCACTAAAATGGCAAGAAACTTAATTATGGAATTTTAAAAAGTTACTGATAAATCCACTTTCTCTTGTTCTTTCAGCCTAAAACTGTTTCTCCTATTTGTATATCCCAGTGCATGTATATAATCCTTGGGTTTTATAGTCCTCTCTTTTCCATTATAGAAAGGAAGGATTAGATTTTCAAAACAGCATGGAAGACAGATAGTCTAGTGGATAGAGTATTAGATTGGGGGTTGGGAGATGTGGGTGCTATTCTTAAATCTGCCAGTGGCCTGCTGGTGACCAGGGTTATGTCACTTAACCTTTCTGTACCTCAGTTACACCATCTGTAAAATGGAGATAATGATACCGACTGTCTTTTTAAAGTGCCTTTGTAAAGTGCTACTGAAGAAAAGCGCTATATAAGAGGTAGCTATTATCATGATTTCAATGGGATTTATGTGTCAAAGCCACTTAAGCTCTTTTGAAAATTCCACACCAAATCTTACTCTGTGTAAGATACTATTCTTTGGGCAGTAGACCCCAACATCACGAGGCCACCTTTTCCCAGCCAAGATCAGGTAAGTTTCCAGTTAGTAATTAGTAATTAATTTTTTTCCTTTTATTGGTTTATGCTAAAACTCTCCTGTTCCTTTCCTGTTTTAATGTATGTTGTTTCCGAATAGTTTCAAAGGATTTTCATGACTTCAAACCAAGAAATAAACTTTGGATCAATTTCTAAGGGAGAGATTAATTTGTTCATTTAGCTGGATAGAGGCTTTGCATAAAAATATTAACTCCACAATTCTTTTCTTTGCCCGTCTTAAACACCAAACCAATGTATTTCCATTCAAGAGAAAAAGACCCTTATAAAGTACAAACATAGAAATGGTAGGGAAAATAAAAAGGAATATTAAACTGTTCTTCTAGCAAGTTGAGTGTAAAAGTATAATTAGGCAGACCAAAAAAGAATTTGAAGAGTGACTAGCAAAGAACACAGACACCACCAGCAACATTTTTTTAAAATTCATCAGAAGCAGGACGCCTGCCAAACAATCCGTATGGCCACTGGATGATTGCTGTACTAAAGGAGCACTCAGTGAAATCAAGGCCCTTAAGGATCAGCTAAATCAATTCTTTGCATTGGTCTTAACTGCAGAGGCTAGGAGGGAGATTCCCGCACCTCAGCCATTATTTTTAGATAGCAAATATCCCTGATTGAGGTATCAGTAGAGCAAGTTTTGGAACAAACTGATAAATTAAACAGTAATAAGTCACCAGGATCAGATGGTATTCACCCAAGAGTTCTGAAGAAACTCAAATATGAAATTGTAAAATTATTAACCTTGGTATATAACCTATCATTTAAATCAGCCTCTGTACCAGATGACTAGTGGATAGCTAATGTAAGGGAGATTTTTAAAAGAGGCTCTAGAAGCCATGCTGGCAATTACAGGCTGGTAAGCCTATCTTCAGTACCAGGCAAATTGGTTGAAATGATAGTAAAGAACAGAATTATCAGCCACATAGATTAACGTGATGTGTTGGGGAACAGTCAACACGGTTTTTGTAAAGGGAAATCATGCCTCACCACTCTACTAGAATTTTTTTAAGGAGTGGAGTCAACAAACGTGGACAAGGATGATCCAGTTGATACAGTGTACTTGGACTTTCAGAAAGCTTTTGACATCGTCCCTCATGAATAGCTCTTAAGAAAAGTAAGCAGTCACGGGATATGAGGGAAGGTGATCTTATGGATCATTAACTGGTTTAAATATAGGAAATAAAGGGTAGGAATAAATGGTCTATTTTCACAGTGGAGAGAAATAACTAGTGGAGCCCCACAAGGATCTGTAATAGGACCAGAGGTCTTCAACATCTAAATAAATTATCTGGAAAAAGGGGGTAAACAGTGAGGAGGCAAAGTTTGCAGATGGTACAAAGTTACTCAAGATAAGTCCAAAGCTGACTGCAAAGAGTTACGAAGGGATCTCACAAAACTGGGTGACTGGGCAACAAAAATAGCAGATGAAATTCAGTGTTGGAAAGTAATGCACGCTAAGTAATGCACGCTGGGAAACATAATCCCAACTGTACATACAAAATGATGGGGACTAAATTAGCTGTTACCACTTAAAAAAGATCTTGGAGTAATTGTGGATAGTTCTCTGAAAACAGCCACTTAATGTGCAGTGGCAGTCAAAAAAGCTACCAGAATATTGGGAATCATAAGGAAAGGGACAGATAATAAGACAGAAAATATCATAATGCCACTATATATCATAAATATAATAATGCCACTATATAAAAGCCCACACTTTGAATACAGTGTGCAGTTCTGTTCCCCCCATCTCAGAAATGATATATTAGAAAAGGAAAAAGTACAGAAAAGAGCAACAAAATTATCAAGGGTATGGAACAACTTCCATATGAGGAGAGATTAAAAAGATTAACCAATTTATTTGAGCATGAGCTTTCGTGAGCTACAGCTCACTTCATCGGATGCATACCGTGGAAATTGCAGCAGACTTTATATATACACAGAGAATATGAAACAATACCTCCTCCCACCCCACTGTCCTGCTGGTAATAGCTTATCTAAAGTGATCATCAGGTGGGCCATTTCCAGCACAAATCCAGGTTTTCTCACCCTCCACCCCCCCCACACAAATTCACTCTCCTGCTGGTGATAGCCCATCCAAAGTGACAACTCTTTACATAATGTGCATGATAATCAAGTCGGGCTATTTCCTGCACAAATCCAGGTTTTCTCACATCCCCCCCACCCCCATACACACACAAACTCACTCTCCTGCTGGTAATAGCTCATCCAAACTGACCACTCTCCAAGTTTAAATCCAAGTTAAACCAGAACATCTGGGGGGGGGGGGGTAGGAAAAAACAAGAGGAAACAGGCTACCTTGCATAATGACTTAGCCACTCCCAGTCTCTATTTAAGCCTAAATTAATAGTATCCAATTTGCAAATGAATTCCAATTCAGCAGTTTCTCGCTGGAGTCTGGATTTGAAGTTTTTTTGTTTTAAGATAGCGACCTTCATGTCTGTGATTGCGTGACCAGAGAGATTGAAGTGTTCTCCGACTGGTTTATGAATGTTATAATTCTTGACATCTGATTTGTGTCCATTTATTCTTTTACGTAGAGACTGTCCAGTTTGACCAATGTACATGGCAGAGGGGCATTGCTGGCACATGATGGCATATATCACATTGGTGGATGTGCAGGTGAACGAGCCTCTGATAGTGTGGCTGATGTTATTAGGCCCTGTGATGGTGTCCCCTGAATAGATATGTGGGCACAATTGGCAACGGTCTCAGTTTTTGAGTGCCCAATTTAAGAGTCTCTAAGTGAATCAAATTAAACACCCAAAATAAAAAATAAACAAATTAATACAATGGAAAAAAGAGAGAGAAAATTGGCCTTGGTTTCTTTAAGTGACAATCCAAGTTTTTTTCTGGATATTCAGTACATTTCTATCAATTTATTGTGAACTATGAAAATTACATTTATACACAGACAAACACTGAAGTCTTGCAACTAAATTTTATACTTGTACCCTATTGTTAGCCTGTGTGGCTGATGAGCTGTAGCCCATAAAATATCCTATAAAATACTCTTTATTAATAGAGTTGAGCAAGTGTAGCTTTAGAAGAATATTGTTAAGAAAAACAAAGGCAAAGGCTTAACACACAATTAAAAACATGTTCAAGTTTTACCTCAAGTGAATAATTTATAATTTCAATAATAATCTGAGACAAAAAAAATCACATTTCTGGCAGTAGAATTTTCTCAACATAAAATCAAAGAAACCAGCTGAGGAATGCATACTGCCTCCTTACAAAGATGGAATGTCACTTCATTTTAAAGCCATTTGTTTCTCTTCCAAATATAGCTGGTGGCTTTATTTATGGGATTGTAGCAAGACTGCAAGCACATGACCCAAAGCTTCTATTTTATATCTTATATATCTTCCCCTCTCCCCCCTTCCCCCCGGGACTGCCTAAAATATATTGAATCTAATCCTACTAAATCAGAGCTTATTGGATTCATTGTTAGAATTTTATTTGAAATGTTAAAAATAAAAATCTACCTGTGATCACATTGATTGGTGAAGATGTAACATCAAAAATATCTGTGTTTTGGCTGACAATACTCTTTATAACTTTTAGCTGATGCAAAATGCTCATTAAATGTTTTGCTTCAAGTCACATATACTGCTTGTTTTTAATGAAGGAAATTAATCCTTATTGGTTAAATGTTGCACCATTTTGCTCTGATGATTCGTTTTTATCAAAACATTGCCACTAAGAGAAAGTGATGAGAAAATTGGAACTGAAAGTCCTGTTTTTCAAATGAGGTTCATTTGAACCTAATTAATAAATACCACTGCCATGAAGTAATACACAGCAAACAGGGCTATACAGTTCATTTGCATCAAGTAAATTGGAACCAAGACATTCCCCCCCCCCCCCATTCTCATGGAGTCTATAAATATTGGTTGGGTTAGGATATTCTTTGGCAGAAGTTGCTGAAGAGTTTCAATAGGTGCCCTGCAATGGTTGATTCATACAATAAATCAGATAAACCCTAATGATATATGTGCACAATGAGAATTCCAGGCACATTATGCGGAGTTCCTAAAGTAGCAAAAAATCTGGCATCTTTTACAGTAAAAATTTAGCAGACAGTCAGTCTTTTCTTTTCTTTTCTTTTTTTTTCTTCAGTTCTCAGCAAAACACATTTGGACAGAGAATATGCAGTTTAAAATAAAATTTTATTAATCATGACCAACAT